TTTAATTGTGAAAATTATGAAGTACAAAATGTTTTCTCAGGACATGTTTTAGGAGAGAATGCTCTGTATTCAGTAAACTGTTTCCTTTTTCTTGGGCACACAAAGGCATGTGGGCAGAAGTAAGGCGCACAACTTGGAGCCCTCGATGCAAATTCCCTGTGATTTTTCTCTTTCTTATCCATTGTTGATAAGAAAGGAAGACCAGGCCCTGAAGGGATGTTAGCTCAGAAACGCAATGAAAGGATCCTTCATCCCCGAATGACTGCTTAAGCGGAGACAACCCCTTCACCCACACCTCCGTCCTCACACTGGATGTGACCGCAACAGGAAATACACATTTTTTATATTAGGAGACTGGATTTGGGGGGATTGCTGGTTAAAACAGTGAGCCTACCCAGACTAGTGCAATACAATTTCAAATTCATAATTCAAACTAGGTTAACAACATGCATTTCATCATTTATTTAACAGGATTATTCACCTCATTTGTTCACTATTCAACAGGTCTTTACGGATCGTCTTTTAGTGAATGGATCAGACTAAATAAAGTTATGCAAATTAGTTTCTCTGAATGGTTCTAAGTTATATGAATAATTTGTGTTCCATTAAATATTTTACCATTCCACAACAATTTTACTTCTGACAATAATTAGCAATATGAAATGGTCATCCAAGTCTCTATCTGAATAATCACAATTACATCTAGTCTGATATGCCATCATCTTCCCGCTTGTTAAGAATTTGCTTATTAATAAGCCTGGCTGAATAGCTCAGAGAAATACAATCCCTGAACCATCTAGCTTCACTTCATTCTATGGTTTAGATTCCATACCTGAACACAGAAAGCCATTTTCACATGTTTGCAACAAGCCATTACCTCCAAACAGAAAAACAACATGTGTTGGTATGTTGTTATGATGACAATCATGTAACACCATAGAACGAGGATGTATATTCCCTGAGTTAACAACAAAAAAAGAATTCAAGTATATACATCAACCAAAGTTTGGGCTTTAACTTCAATAGTTAATAAACAAGACCAGGCAATTTAAAAATTTTTGAAGTAAAGTTTTATAACTTTCAAGCAGAATATGTGAAGTGGTCACAAAGTCCCTATGCATTAGGTTGAGGAAGAAAACACTTCTCAACTCTAACAGCAGTCAAGACCCAAAATCAGTTATTGAAGTCGTCTCAATTAATTTCCAAACATCAACATGAAAAAAAGGAAACCAAGAAAATGTGAAGAAAATTTACAACTAGTGTATACATGTAAACTTTAAGGATCTTTAAAGGAAATTGTGGACACTCTACATTGTTAAAAAACAAAACAAACAAAAAAACACTAAGGTTAGTAGTCATAATGGTGTAAACTAGTGGGAAAAATTATAATTCACATTAAGTTTATGCTATTTCTATGACATTAGGAACTTTTCAAATAAGTTAAATATAATGTAAATGCTGTGCTAACATAGGTTTTGTTTCCAGAAGAGGGCTTGTATATACATAAACAGGTGTTCAATGTAATGTTTCCTGAGCTAAGGCATCTTCAGCATCAGAAAGCACCTGGAATTTCCACATTAAAATTTCTGATTTATGGAGCCCTTGCTTTACAAAGTGAACATTATTTTAGGTTAGATTCCATTTTTACTTTTTTAAAAATTTGCACAAAGAATAAAATTAGTTCAAATTTTCTATGTAATAAGAGCCATACGTGTAGTACCTGAATTTCAAATCAGTGCAGTCCATAGCAATGCCAGTTATCTTTGAGTATGTGAGTGTGTATTTTTAGTTACAATTCATAAGATGAGCTTAAGGTATTCGATGGCATATTCCAGATTCCCCACTGAACAACAAATGTATTTCACTTGACATGTCTGTTACATCAATTATTCCAATCTCCTTCTTTCTATCACTGCTTATGTTAAAAAGCCTTAAAGCTTTCTTTTGAATACAGCTGGAACTCATTAGCTCCTCTCTGCCAATCTAACTATTATTCTGTCACTTTTCCTCCTTCCCTTTATGTCCTCAACCTAATCAGTGACATTTTCCTGCTTTTTATTATTATTTTTTGTTGTTGTTGGGAATTCCACTGAATCAGCTTTCCAGCAAACCTGGTGTGTAGAATTTAAAGCTCCCCTATTACTTTTGGCTAATAAGTAAAAAACAATTAAGCAATCTTCTACTGGTGCAGTGACCACTGTTTATCTGGGTTCTGCATTCAGAGCTGGAACAGGTGCTATTTCATCCCAGGGCCTAAATATCAAAATATTTGTGAATTGAGCTTTGCACTCTACTGAGCTATGTCAATTCATGTTTCACAGTGAACATATTTACAACAAAAAGATTTTCTGGCACTGTGAGAACACAAGCCTTAGTAAGATTCTAAATGTTGCCCTTTGCCATTGCTTTGTCTCTGGAAAGTAATGCCAAATAATGCACTCCCTTGGATGTGAGTCAAATATGCAAATTATAGCTTGTGACTAATGGCTTTGTTTAGAAGTCTGGATTCCTTTCTTTTTATTGCTGGGTGATATGAGAAATTTCTACTGGATCTGTTATATCTGACAATTTTCTTTTATTCTATTTAGTGACTGGAAGACCTGCAAAAATAAAGTTTTTTGTAAGTGGTAAAAAAAAAATCTCATGTAAATAATGGACCTATCAAATTAGAAAATTAAATTTCTAGAAAATAGATATGCTCAATGAGGTATTTGTTAATAACACATATGCTCTTCCTAAATTTTATAAAATGGAAGGAAAATGAGAACTTTGCCCAGTTAGGCATAAGTTTGTAAGGGGGAGAAAAAACCCATAGGAATTTGTATAACATCTTAAGTAGGTTTAAATAATCCTTGAAATTGAACCAGAAGTGCATTTTATAAAACTCATCTTTCCCTCTCAAGAGTCCCATTCAGGATAACATGTGTGCAAATCCTAGGCAATATACGGCTGCAAAGTGAGGCAGGGGACACATCAAGAATTGAGCCAAGTTCTTTCTGAATTATGCCCCATAAGTCCTCTATATCTTCAATCACTAATTTTACCTATAAAATAAAGTCTTTCTGTCTGTGGCTTACCGAAAGGATGAAGAAAAATTTGAGAACATGTAAGAAAAATAAATATCTGGTGGGGGTGGGAAGAGGTTAACCAAAGAACTTATATGCCCATGGCCATAGACAATAGTGTGGTAAATAGGTGAGGCAGGGTGGGAACAGATGGAGGGGGAAAACGGGGGGACCAACAGAGGGGTGGGGGGACATATGTAATATTCTCAACAATAAAGATAATAAATAAATAAATAAATATTGTGCCAGCCACTATTCTTAAAATGTATCATTATAATGTTGTTTACCTTTTAAGAATAGTGTCCGTATTACATTTGCAACTGTAATTGAAGTGATGAGATTTTACTCTGTTCTGTGTTATCTAAGGCCAGCTTTCCTTCTTTTCTCTCTCCCTCCCAAACTTCCCTTCCTTTTCTAAATTTTTTTAGACATATTTATTGTGCCTTAGTTGGGGGTTGGGCACTGTGTCAAACTCTGAATATACCGATCAACAAGATGGACGTACCGTATTTGCCGGCGTATAAGACGATTTTTTGGCCCTGAAAAATATGCCTCCAAGTGGGGGGTCATCTTATACGCCAGGTACACTTCAGATAGACTGCCCATAGTGCTTGCCCCGTGCCATAGTGGCCTCCCGATGCCCGCCCACTTCATTCCACATACCGTTCAGGCATCAGCAGCGCTGCTGGGTGTATTCTCGGCTGTTATGCGATTTTGCTGTTATGCGATTTTACCACACTTGCAAAATCGCACACAGCCGACCATACACCCAGTATGATAGCACAAAATCGCGAATCGCGATACCATACTGGGTGTATGGTTGGCTGTGTGCGATTTTGCGAGTGTGGTAAATTCGGGTTAACGTATATTTCTTTCCATATGACTTGAAGATCA